GCATGCCTATCCAAGGACAAAGCCCACTGATGAATCCTGCCCTTGTAATGATTTTTGTTTCATAAGGTGGAAACTGCAGATTTATCTTTTAATAGCTTCCCCCTTTTACAGTGTGGTACTTTAAAAGGTTGCGTAAACAAACAAACAATTAAAAAACACAGATAAAAGAATATGTGAATTCGTTGCCTGAAAATGGAAAGACACAAGTATCACCTTTTAACAAATTTAATCTTAGGGTAATCACCACAGGTTTTTTCCTCTGTTCCTTCAAAAAGGATTTAAGGAAAAAACAATCTGTCAGTGTAAAAGTATCTCAGATGTTGACATCATTGTTTTAGTTTCAATATATTTATCCACACATTTATAAATCCTTCCTTAAAACAGAGGGAGTAAAAATGAGATTTCTTTTTAAAAGATGCGGTGTTACTTGTCTAGTTCTCTCACAGGCCGTTGGTCCCCATAAGAAAAAGACCCTACTAGGAAGAGATTCTTTCTGAAATTAGTTGTTTTAAAGTTGGTCCTCTCGAGACAGTTCCTGAGTGCCTGAGATTTTTCTGGAACTGTTAAATCCGGGAATGCAGACAAGACCCTCATCCTGGCACTGTGGGAGCAATCCCAGTGCAGTTTGCCTGGCTGGCTTTGTTTTAAAATGTGATTCAAACGACACCACGGAAAACCCAAACCATGTCGAGATTTCCATAAAGCTTTGAAAACATGCTATCTGGATCTCCCTCTTTTTTTTCTCTCTCTCTCTTTTTCCTTCTTACTCTGTCTCTAACCAAAGTCGGGAGGAAAAAAAAAAAATCTGGAAAATGGGCCGGAAAATGAATAGATTAAAAATCAAATGACCTGTAACCGCTGATCTTATTTACAGAAGGTTCCAGGGCCGCTAGCTAGTGGCGCTGGGGTCTCAGGGTGAAGGGTACAGCCTTTCTGGGCTGAATGCTGCCCCCTCCCTCCATGCGCCCACCCAGGAGAGCAACACGCCAGGTAGTTTTGGGACCCCTAGAGCTCTGCTGGGCCGCGGCAGTCCTCTTGGAAAACTTAAACCAAATTCCAACACACATCCGAGGCCCCTTGCCGGAGCGCGGGCGCCTGGGTGGAGGCAGGTGCCGGGGCCGTGCGGGGTGTGGTCATCCTTAGCGCCCCCCGGTGCCCGGCGGCTAGTCGGCATCGCCAAGGGGCGCACATTGCCAGCGTCCCTGAGCGCGCGGGCTTCCCAGGGCCCCGCCGCGGCCTGGGACTGCAAGCCCCTGCACGGAGGGACTTCCTGCGGCCTCAGGCAGTCGTCGGGACCCGCCCCCGCCGGCCATCTGGTCTCCAGGGCTCCAGTCCGTGCGCACCTGCTGCACGCCTGTCCGGGCATCTCGCGGGGGAGGGGGGGTGTGGGCCCATGCCCTGCAGCCACCAGGCCTGGACAGAGAAGGCCAGGGCGACCGAGCCCCTGCAGAGCAGGTGTATAAAGGACTGGGACAAGATGGAGAGAGGGAGAGAAAAAGAGAGTGGGAGCAGGGTGGGGGTGGGGAGCTGTTCGTGAAAACGGGAGAGGGAAGGCGGGGAGGAGACAAACTGAATCCTCTCTGCTTTCCTCTTCATTCCAGGCTTCAAGCCCCTTGCACCAGAAGCTCTAGCCAGCGCGAAACATTCCAGAACTGCCTCCAAGCTCTTACCACAGTGCAGCTCCCCACCCCTGCCTTTGTCTGCACTTAAACTAGGGGCAGTGTGACTTATTGGGTCCCAGGCCTCCGCTTTGGTGACTGCTTGCTGGCCTGAAGGCAGTGCCTTCTAAGGCTCTCTAATGCCCCTGGGTGACAGGACATGGGAGGGAGAGGTGCCAAAAATTATGAGGAAAACCCTGGGACCAGACTGGAGTCAGGTGGTCAGGGGACCATACCCTAGAGTTACAGAGTTCACTATAGTTTTTAGGAATCTGTGGGAAACTCATGGCCTGTCAACAGCTTGTCAGTCACCCTGCAAGCAGATCCTTCCTGGTGGGAGGTGGGGACCCCGAGAATGACCTGAATGACCCCTGGCCATGGAGGTCCTAAGTCAAGGTTGGCCTCCGTTCATAATGTTTTCCTCAGCCCCTGCATGCCAGGTCCTTTCCTCTCTCCTGCTATCTGGGCCTAGCTTGGGATTGCTTGTTGTAATGGGATCCTCCAGCCAGTTTTCCTTCTGGAGAATCCCTAAAACAAGGTTGGAAACCCACTTCTATGGGCCTCCAGAAGTGGATGAGGTCATGGAGAACCAGGGCAAATATGATTGCAAAAAGAGAATCTGCACCCCCCTCCCATAATTTTTCAGGCTAGGATTCACTTTCTCACCATCCTTGTTGGGGATTCTGGAAGGACAGTGATTTTCACTCCTTCCTGGCCGGTTCTATAAGGCTTCACGTCTCTCCTACTCCCTTAACGGAAAGAACCAACTGCGAGGAAAAACGGTTCTTTGGACTCTTAACTTGGAAACAGGCAAGGTTGGTAATCAGAATAATTAGAGAAACTCAGAGCTAAAATCCCAGGTTTGCAGCTCATACTCGGGCCCAGGCTGGGGGAGGAGGGGGGAGGGGTGGGTTGAGGCGTGTAGGGGGAAAACACAGTTTCCCAAACCTCAGCAGACACCCCTCCGTCATCCTCCCTTCTTGAACTAACTAAAGATCCAAGATGAAATCTCTGTAGAAGAGAGGAATGTGATTTTGCAATCCAAAGTCCTAATTATAGGGAACATTGTTATTTAATAAAAGGAAGGGAAAGAAAATGAATTGTGTTGAAGAGATGTCCGGGAGATGGCCGATTTTAGTAAGGAACCGTTCACGCCAGTCAGAGCCTTTGTGGACAATGTGTTTTGGGAGCCGCTGAAAACTGTGCAACTCTGAGACAAATTCATATAAAGATCTGATTTCTGTGTGCTGTTGATTTGCTCTATCTCGGTCCTCAAATTTAAACAAAAGGTCCTCAAATTTAAACAATAAAAAACTACGGGCATGATGTCCTAAGACTATTGTGGTGACCGTATAAATATTGGCATAACATGTCTGACTGGTCCAAATGCCATCATTAAATCCCAGACTGATATATTTATAAATGCTCAAAAATTAAGGCATGAATGAATTCCTCCAATCTCTCCACTTGGGTTTGGTCCCTAAAATTGTTTTCAAAGAGGAAACATGTGTAAGCGTGTTTTAAAGAAGCGGACAGGGGAAACTCGTTTGTTCCTGTAGTATGTGTTCTCTGGGTCTGACTTTGTCTGACCTTTTGCTGTGGAGCAAGTGGAATTCAGACTGGTAACTAAGATGACCCTTGGGCCTCTTGCCCACTTCCCTGGACTCAACTCCATCATTTCTCACCTCCTACAGATGGTACAAAGAACAGTGAGCTCAAAATTCTGTTTGCAATGCCTTTCTGCAAAGCAATTTGCTTTGTTTTGTTCCTCTCTGAAGGGCCAAGATGCTCCCAATTTGTGGCAGGACTGTACTTCTTTATGCCCCAACAATCATGAGACAGCCTGGGAGACTGAAATTCTTTCACCCTGTCCCCTACCTCTGCGAGGGAAAATGCCAGACAGAGCTGCATTTGTTCAGGAGCTGGGTTGGAGCTACGTCTGGAGAGAATTCTCCTTTTCTGGGACTGTTTGATGTCTGGATTTTTGAAGATTTATATCGAAAGTAAAAAAACGTTGTTAAGAGAAGGTGGGTTAAGGATCTTGTGTTTTAAAAAAATGCAAAAATAAACAAATCCTGATTCAGGGCTGGATCCTGGACCACCTCCCTTATAACTGCTGTAAGTCCTGCATGACTTGGGACATCTTTGAGATTTAGGATGGGCTGAGAGTGAAACAAACTTCAGGGCATCTCTTATTAACCTCAAAACAACAAGCAAGGTAGAGACCCCAAATTATTCCTTCAGCATCCTGAAGAGTCATCAGAAGAGGTAAAAATCATAGACTCTCTCCCTGGATAAAACTTCCCTAAACAAAGCAAAGCCCAAACAAAAAAACCTAAGACATTTCTTCAAAGAGAGGGGCAAAATTATTATTTTTTAAAAATCAAATGACAGTAACTTGTAGTGGAGAAATATCAGCACTCCAAAGCTGGAGTGTCTGACTTCCTAGGCCCTCTTGGTGAATGTTTATACGAGAGCTAAGGAGAGCTGGGTTGTGTGTTTTACTGGCACGGAAATCGGACGGCTGAAGGTTGTCACTCGTGTATTTTAGTCTTCCAACCTATCTCAGTAGTCTTTAACTACTGGCAATAATAATAGTAGTAATAATAATGAGATTCTCATGTGGCAATCTTTCAAATATCTTGATTGGTCTCATATATTGGAAGAATACATTTCATAAAGTCAGGAGTGTGTGAATACGGAAGTAAGTTGGCCTAAACAAAGACAACAACACAGCAGCAACAAAAGCCTCCCAGTGTGCTGCTCTCTCGGGAACCTTCGAATGTGTCACAAGCAACTCCAGTTATTTAGACCAGGAAATGCCGGGAATGCGACTACCCAGACAGCTGTGTGCCATGTTTGCGAGGGTGGCCACGACTGGCCTTGTGTTCACTGCTTTTAGCAGTAAAACTGGTGGTTTGGCAAGGGAAAGCTCTACCCTAAAAGAACCCAAGTATCTAGAATTGATGTTACTAAATAAAAACGACTGGGGTGATCGGATAAGGGAGAAAAGATCAGAGCGTTAGCGTCTCGTGAGTTCTGTAATAAATAGAGTATTTCCCATCGGAGTGGTCTGTGTGGAAAAGGACCCAGGCGGTTATGGCATTGAGAGTGAGGAAAGGATGCCTCCGTAGCAGATTTATTGGCTAGGCAAAAGTAGTACCTCTGCCTATTTGATGTCAATATATTACTGTGTCAGAGATATTGTGAAAAAAATATTACATGGTTTTTGAAAAATGAAACAGGCAAGAAACTGGGAAATTAAAGGGAGGTGATTTTGTGAGTGCCTGGGAGCAGAAAAGAAAAGGGAACCAAAAAAAAAAAAAAAGCACACAGAGGGTGTGTATTTAACTAACTTTGTATTTTGTCACACATTGTTTTCATTTACAGCTGTATCTGATAAATGAACACATTTGACATCACTGATAAATACAATGCTATCTAGCGCCTACAAGAAAACTGGGGGGCTCAGTTCCCCTGAAACTTCTGCCGATGGCATCTGTTTGGGGGAAGGGGAGTCCAATATTTCTTTTTTGCTTCTTTAGTAAAATTATCTGCCAGAGAAATAAGCATGAAAAAGTACTATTTAGAATGTGCACATATATATATGTGTGTGTGTGTATATGTATATATATATGTATATATATATATGCCTTTAAAATGCTAGCTGTTACATTCTGGGAAACTTTTCATCATATATATGTACATATATATATGTCTTTGTAATTTCAGTGGATTTTTAAAACTAATATTACAGGTTGAAAGTCATCCCACCTGTTCAGTTGCGCGCATCATACATCAAGTGGCACAACTGTGTTTTTCTGTTGGGTCTATAGCTAAGACCCCCAGACAAGAGGCATCGTTAATTAGCATGGAGGTTACACATTTCATAGTCTTCTCTAACACAACAGTTTTTCTTTAAAAAGGTGACTAAACAGAAGTCAGGGGTAGGTTGCTCTTCACGACTGCAAATAATGATAATAATAATAATAATAATGTTTTTAATGTACAGCTCTCACATAAATTTCATTTTGTGAACACACTGGTAAGTACACGATGCTGGGGCTTCCAAAATGTGGCGTATCCCACTGATGGCTCCAACTTGCGAGGGGGCTCAGTTCTGTAATTGGAATGAAAGGAATTTTAACACTATTTAGACAGAGACTCAAACGCAGCGTAAAGGGGAAGGTTAGATTTCCTCATATGATCTCTCTTTTGAAAAAAAAAATTTAGAGACTTATTTATAATTAATAGTATCTAAGCAGTATTTAAGAGTTCTTTGTGAAAAAGCATGTATTTGTGTTTGCCACTCTCACTGTATTTCTGTCTTTAGTGATTGTTATTTCTAAAAATGCGTATTCCTGGGAGTTCACTTTTTCTTAAAGTCAGCCACCCCAACCCAATTTTTGCCACCATTTCTGCACTTAATTTTCTAACATGTGGGGCCCAAACTTACTTTATTATATTCAACTGTTTGGTAGAGTCCTATCAAAATAATTAACTATCGAGAAAAACATGTTTTTCTCCTGATCCAGGCCTCATTCTTCATGAGATAATTACAGTAACTATATCCTGAATGTTACTCTTATTTTGAGAATGTATTTGCATAACATCTTTCATTAGATGCTGAGCTTTTTTGTAAAAGTGATACTTCCATTTCTGCTTCTTTAGGGGGAGACCGTGTATTTCTTAGTTGTGATCAGGGGAAGAAAAAAGAATGAAAGGAAAAGAAAAGAAAAAGAAAGAAAATATCTGAAGTCAAGAGCAGCTAACTTCCAGCCCATGATGGTAGGTTTACTATTAAAACTTGTTAAGCAAAATGAAGTGTGGATTCAGGACTCTATCCCACTGGAACATAAAGGAAGATGAAGATGTAGTGAATATACTGTCTTCGTGTTCTGTGAAAAAGAGGCAGGAAGGCCAGAAGATAAACTGGCCAGAACTCGGCACCGTTAGACACAACCTGTTTTCTTCAAAATAAGGCTTTCGTTCAGAGTTGCAATATTATCTTAAAAAAAAAAAAAAACTGAAAACAAAATCAAACAAAAGTCATCGTGTTTAGCTATATTTTCAAAACAGTGCTGGCTTTGTCTAACATTCTATTAGCGTTCTAGGGGAAGTTGACCAAGAGTGCAAACTGGATGAATTTGTAACATTAGTTGCATGAATTTGTGTCATTTTAAAATAGGTCAATGCTTAGGAGCCTTACTAGTGAAGGTAGTTAGAGTCTTTCCAAATGATCTTTAAGTTTGCTCCCACACACAGCCTGTTTTGGGAGTAAATACCAGTAAATCAAAGCACAGCGTCTATTCCACGAAGGTATTATTTTCTGCATTTATTTTGGGGGATAACATGACCTGAAATCATTACCAGCTCGTCTAAATAGAGAAGTCCTCTACTGAATATTCACGGTGAAATATGATTTGATAACACAATTTAAACCAGATATGTACTTGGGATTATGTAAGTAGGGGTGGATTTTCTTTTTCCTATGTAAGACAAATGACCTTTAATGTTAAAGAAAAAGCAAAACAAAACAAACAACTTCAATTTGTCCAAAGTGTTTATGTTAAATTTTGTCAGGCTTTCGCTAACCAGAATGTCATGGTGTGTAAGGGGAAAAGGAAAAATAATCAATTTTAGCCAAAAAGAATTGTTTATCTTTACTATTAAATGCCTGTGTGCCCAAGCCACCTCTGATGCGCCATGCTTTTCTGGCTCATCTCTCTTTGCATGTGCTTCCTCCTGGGTCAGAAGCTCAGGGCCATGTTTAGAAAGCCCAGCTACACTATTGGGTTATTTTTTTGTTTTGTTTTCACCAAAGGGCAATGATGGCTCAGCTCATTCAAAAATTGAAAACTTTAGAGAGAAAAAAAAAGATATAATTTACGCCTACATTAAATATTGCTCATCAAGATATGGGGCCAGCCTCCTCGCCTCACAAAACAGCCTATAATCTGACCCTGAATTGCTGCCTCTCTTTTCCCCCATCAATCCTTCCACTGGAGAAAAGGATGCATTTTACACTTCTAATGCAGTTGTTGGGCCCAGTTAAACTGTACACTAAGAAACTGAGTACAGAAACAAAAAAAAAATGCAGTTTATTATTGTAGATTATTCTTTCTCTTGATAACCAGAATTGAAAATGAAAGAAAAGCACATAGGAACATCACGCGTGGTTAGTTAGTAACTCAAGATATAAAACAATTTTGCACAGCAAAATATGTAAAAGAAAAGTAACTGACAAGATTTTTTTATATTTATTGTGGTAAGATTTACTTTTCATTTCTTTTTAAAGACAGGATGTCAGTCCCTGAAAATAACATTTACTGATTATTGCCTTTAAAACTGTGGATTTTTTTTAAAGTTACAGAAAATCCAGTTCTGCACCACAATACAACTGTAAAAAAATCTGCATCATCTTAAAACTGTGCAGTAATGCCATTTTTATAACTGCATAAATTTTATTAGCGTTCTAAACAGTTTTGCAATTTTTTTGTATTATATGCTTGCAGGTTATATCTTAGTGCAATTCAGTCCCAAATACTTTAATTTTGAAAAAAAAAAAACATACATTTTGAATGTAAAATACCCCTACAGATATAAATGGGGTGTTTCCCCTTTTAATACTTTGGTTTTCAATACAGTCAGTGGTATAGCAAAGACTACACATACCCAACTTATATTTAAGTTGCAAGCACATGCTGTATAAGCTACTTTTTTAAACAGTCCCCTTGCAAACTCTACCCCCCTTAACATCACAACAGTAAACAATTTAGTGCATCAATCTTTTAAAAAATCTACAGCTAAACAGACCTAACTCTTTCAAATTTATCTATAACATTCCTTTATCTGTAGCATACATTTTAACTGGGCTAACAGATTATAAAAACTAGAATTAAATTATATACTAGAAACTCATAGCATTCCACATTTGACAATGACCAAAAGCCAAAAAAAAACCAATAAAATAAAATAATAATAAGAATAAAACAAACGAAAAAATAATGGGGCAGATTTATTGTCTTAAAAAATAAATTTTAGACTGCTTTCGGCAATAGCACAATTTTAGTCCCCAAAGTGGGGTATCATTTCTTATTAAAAAGAAAACATTAAGAGTTCTTTAACGTTTGCCATGTTAGATGTGTAACCCATTCTGGTATCTCTGACAAGGAATGCCGTCAGTGCATTTACATTGGGAGGCTGAAGTTCTGAGTAACTCAAAGCAGTTTTGGAGCAGATGCAAACTTTCATGGGAAGAAGGCTGTGGGGTTGCACTTTTTTGTTCTGAACTCAAAAAAAATCATGATGAGGCAATAAAACAAAAGTATGAATGCCATGCTATAGGTCTTCGAACGTCCATTTCCAAGCCAAAAGAAAAAAAGGAAAAAAAAATAATTATACCATACATGTCCAGCATGCAGGCTTTTTTTTTTTTTATTAATATAATGTCTCTTTTCCATAAAGTCTTTGAAACAGTTATAGTTCATTGTTGCTAAGACAAAGTAGCAAGCACAATAATGCATGAGATGAGAATGAGTTTTTTAAATGGCAGACTAAACTCTCAGATTTGGCACCACAAGGCCAAAACTCACAAGTCACACCCAGAAGGTTGATGTAGGCTTGATTGTGGCAGGTTCATGAGGATTTTTTTTCCTCTATTTTAGCATAACAATGCTAAAAAAAAAAAAAAACCCCGAAGGAACTCAGCACGCTGCAAGTCTATAACATTTCACATTTTTTTTTTTTTTGCAAGCTCAATCTCACATGAAGAACTCAGGAGAAGAAAAAAAAAACTTTACTTTTTTTTCTTTCTTTTTTCTGGGAGGAGATGGGTGGAGAGGGAGTGAGGGTGAAGGTTGGAGTGGGGAGGAGGAGGTGGGCAACACAGCAAGCTCCAAAAGTAAAACAAGTAAAAAAAAAAAATCCAAACAAAATAAAAATAATAAACACACACACACAGAAAATGAACACCAGCTCATGAACTGAAGAAGAAGGGAGAAAAATATATATGTGAATGATGCAAGCTTCAAAGGTGGGCGACGTTTCACATGAAAAACTCTGCCGAGATCTTTGAACATTGTGCAAATCGGAGGGGGGGTGGGGGGGTGGGAGAGTGTCAAAACAAAACCAAACGAAACAACAAGCTAGCAAGTTTATGGAGAATTTCAGATTGGCAATCCGTGAGCCAGACACCCATTCCCTCCCCAACTTAAAACAGCCACCGCCACCGTGAGCTCGGAGCGGGACGCGCGCGCGCGCACGCGTGTGCCTGTGTGTGTGTGTGTGCGTGCGTGCGTGTGTGTGGGTGTGGAGGGGGCCGGAGGGGGGGCGCAAACTCGGCCGGGGAGGGGGCGGTGGTGGCCAGCGTGGCTCTGGAACTAGCAAGCCCGCACCCGAGCCGGACCCCCACTCATCAGGGCGGCTAGCTGGGATCGCGTGTCAGACTCACATGAAAAACTCGGGAGAGGACGGGTTGTCGCTGCTCGAGCCGTTTTCTCGGAAGCCGCTGCTCACCAACTTCTCGTATTTCTCCTTGTACGCGTCCCTCTCGCGCACCAGCCTGGAGATCTCCTGCTTGAGGTGGTCGACCTGCTGCAGCAGCTGGTTCTTCTCGGACTCCAGGACGTGTCTCTGCTGCACCCTCTTGAAGCGGCAGGACTGGGCATAGCCGCGGTTTTTCAGGGTCCGCCTCTTCTGCTTGAGCCGGATCACCTCCTCCTTGCTGACGCCGCGCAGCTGCCGGTTCAGCTCGCGCACCGACATGGTCACCAGCTGCTCGTCGGAGAAGCGGTCGTCGAAGTGCA